TCCCTGCCCATGGCAGGTGTTCGGAACTGGATGATCTTGAAGGTCCCTTCCCACCCAAACCATTCCATGATTCTATGATTTTGTGGGGTGGACTGTTATAGATACCAGGGGCTTGTCTGCTTCATGCCTTCTCACCTAGGTTCTGAGTCTCCAGCAAATCCGGAGATCTTCATCAGGACCACAAGAAGATGGCTGGGGAGGGAGGGGAAAATTGCTTCTCCCTGGGTGAATCATCTCCATGTACTTGCAAGGCATTCTGCAGAAGAGCCCTGTTGACAAGAGTATTCTGTCCAACATTTGCAGAGCGCAGGGATGCTGGTGTGTGATTGTAACCCTGTGAACTCACGTCCACATGCTGGTTTGGAGATGAGGATCACGCCCTGTTTCAGGGGCGAGTTCAAGTCGGTAAAACAACCTGTCTCCTCCAGCAGAGAGGGGCCTCTTTAGGTTAAGCAGCAGAGCCTCTGTACTCTGGCACTGAGGTCCTGGGCTCTCCCCTTCGTGTCGGGCTGTGTTATTTGTGTGTGTGCACTCATGGATTAATTGTAAACCGATCGCAGAAGCAGGGACTGAGCGCTCTGCATTGCCAGCATCGCCTTATGTCATCCAGTCCCTGGGGAGACATTGTTCACCAAGGCTTTGGGAAAGGCACGGAAAAGGGGGGGGGAAATGTTCCTAGCTGTGGATAGAGAAGGTGCAGCACCTTGAAAAAGGGGAATCCGGTCCAACTGGTCGGGTTGCTGTAATCAGATGCAAGGGGAGGAACTGCGGAGAAAGGCAGCCAAATGTGGGATGGGGACATGCTTGTTAATACTGGAAAAGAGACAAATTATGCCGACTTAACTACTTGGCTGCTGCTGAATGCGATGGAGAAGAAGCTGTGTGTTCCCATGCTCCTGACTATGTGGCACTGGTTTAAATGGAGTTTCCCTCGCAGTGTAAGCACAGTCTGAGGATGCTGCAAACTTTATTGCAAAACCCATGGCAGAAAGGGAAGAGTTAAATTGGAGCAAATGTTCTGTCTGCTCTAAAGAGAAGCTAGATTTGCTTTGATTAGTTCACTTAATCTCTTGGTGTGGAAGAAAGCAAGCCAGATACCCCCTTGTGTCTGGGACTTACATGGGAGAAATTTCTCTTTGCAAATGGGTGATTGCGGATTGTTTTAATGAGAAGAGGATGTAGCTGTGATCATGAATGGGGAGGGAGTCTGCGCAGCAGAAGCTTTCCCCGCTCAGAGAAAGCCTTTTCTGTCGAGCAGAGGGTGAGAGGGGGACAGGCAGAACCTCCTCTGTCCCCCTCCAGTACACCTTTGTCTGATTTTGTTCTTGGAGGACACGTTTTTAAGCCCCAAATACAAAAGTCCTGCTTCAGTTTGTCCTTAGTACTCTGCTGGTGAAAGTTATATGCAAAACAGGGATGGGAGGGAAAGGGTGTATTCCTTAATTTGCTGTCTGTCTGTGTCTGGAAAGGCAGGGACATTTGGGAGCTTTCTTCTGTTTGGCTTTTTGTCTCTGGGATCTCAGGGATGCCAATTCCACCCTTTCTTCTTGCTGACCTTCTTGAAGGTCTTGCAGAGGTGTTTGTGGGAAGGAGAGCTGTTTACTTCTTAGAGTTTATTCTCCAGTACTGGAATACTGGAATTAAATACATCAGAGTAAAAATAAATAAAGAAACAAAGAATTATTTCAAATAATCTGGAAAGACATTGCTTCTCAATTACCTTTCATCTGCACAGTATATTTTAAATTATTATTCTGCTGGTCTTCCACTTGACCATAATTTTTTTTTTTTGAGGGAAGCAAAGAAAAAAAGAGATCTGAATTTCTAGTCTATTTTGTTCTGAAAGGGAAAGGAAGGGACGTTGGACATGAAACAATTTACCACAATAATAATTAAAAAATATCTTGGAAGAACTGCAGGTTTTTTCTTATTGTTTTTAATTTTTGGAGGTCACGTTTAAATAAGGACTTCAAATACCTCTGAGGTTAAATGCAGAAATGAATGTGCTGTGATTTGACCTGTGGAGAGCAAGTTGTCAGCTGTGGACAGCTGGCTTCAGGGAAGAGCCCTGTGAAAGCACGGCGTGTGTTTGGGGATGGCCAACATGTGGGAAAGAACCAAACGGGGAAAAGCAGCATTGCCCAAACAGGGGAATTCCCCAAACACTTCAGTTTTCCCTTTGAAATGAAGGTGAGTTTGGGTCCAGGCTGGTTTTGCTCTGCTAGGAAGCAGAATGAAGCCGGACTTCTCCAAAATCCGTATTTCCCCTCCGGAAAGCCATCTGGAACCATCTGTGACCAGGCTCAGCGGGGATTCCAGCTGATCCTGCCCGCAGCCGCCCTGGTCCCCCAACCATCGCCTCCCTCCTGGCACCCGCGCTGCCCGCACAGCCAGGACTGCTCTTGCAGGTTTTGAGCCAGATCGCACAGACTGTGGCGATGAGGTCAGTCTCCTCCCAGGAGATTCCTGCTTTTTTCCATCCTCTATCAACACAAGTTAAACACCAGCTACCACTGCCACCGCTGCCACCGTTGCTCCCACCCTGTTTACACAGCTCTGCCGCGCTCCGCTCGATGCAGCTTTGTTGTTGCCATCGTAGCACGCGATACGTTCTTGTGTGGTTACCTAAGTGCTCGTTTCTTCCCACCACTGTTTTAATCCTCCTCTGTAGGTACCTGTCATAAGCATAGAAATGCTGTGAAAAATCTTTGTTGCTGTGCTGCTGGATTTGTGCTGCAGATTTTCATGGGCAGCTGGTTTGGTTTCTCTTTTCTCTGCAGTTGGCGTTTCTCTCCTGTGCAGTGGGATTGAGAGAACAAATACTTTATAAATGGTGAGGCACTTAAATGCTGCAGTAGTGGGGGCAATATAAGTGTCAGGATAGATGAGGAAGCAGCAGTGAAACTGTAATTTGGGACCTGATCCTGTAAACACACATCTGAGTCTCCTCCTTTCTGTGAGTGAAGCCAAGTCTCGGAGCTGGTCCCAGGAGCAAAGTCTCATGAGCATGAGTGTGTCCTGGACTAGGCCATCCCGGATCCTTTGAGGATTATAAATAACATGTTACATGGCTTTAGAGTTTCTTTTAATGTAGCCTCTCCATTTGTTCCCTGTTCTTACGTGCTTTGCTCTTGAATGAGTCATCAGAAGCTGCTGCTTATGCATTTTCCCTTGCCTTAAATGTGTGCTTTATTTTAAGAAGCTGAATCTCCGGTTTCTCAGAACCTGAAACTCTTTTTTTTTTTTTTTTTTTTTTCAGTTTGACAAGTGGACAGATGGTCAGAGGCGTAGGATCCTGGTGGACCTGCTGGAACGCTGCTCCCTGTCACAGCAGAAATTCTGTGCCAAGCAGCTACAGGATCGAGTTCCCACCGAGGCTCTAGATTTTACCACAAGGCTTCCTCGAGTCCTGTCTTTATACATCTTTTCCTTCTTGGACCCACGGAGCCTCTGTCGATGCGCACAGGTAAAAAGGCCAACATGTACCTAAGGTTCAGAAAGTCAGGACAAGCTAGTTAAAAAAAGGAAAACAGCACTGGTTTACTGTAAAGTCATAGCAGGGCTGTTCTTTGTAATGCTGGGATGTCTTCTGACTTGGCAGCTCAGTGCCAAATGCTTAGTGACGCTTGCATGAGACTGAACGCAACACTTCCACAGATCCTAAATTAAGCCCAATTGGCCAAGATTTTCAAAAGTTCAGAGTAATTTTAGATGCTCAGCTCTAAGGCATTTAACATGTGGCACTTTATAAGACTGATTCTTCCCAAGACGGAGGCCTGGTACTTTCTGAAAATCATGTTCTTTTAAAGTAGAATCATAGAATCATAGAACGGTTTGGGTTGGAAAGGACCTTAAAGCCCATCCAGTGCCACCCCCTGCCATGGGCAGGGACACCTCCCACCAGCCCAGGTTGCCCAAAGCCTCATCCAGCCTGGCCTTGAACCCCTCCAGGGATGGGGCATCCACAGCTTCTCTGGGCAACCTGGGCCACTGCCTCACCACCCTCACAGGGAAACATTTCTTCCCAATATCTCATCTCAGTCTCCCCTCTTTCAGTTTATAACTGTTCCCCCTTGTCCTGTCCCCATGCTCCCTGATAAAGAGCATTTCCCCATCCCTCCTGTAGCCCCCTTTAGGTACTGGTAGGCTGCTACAGTACCTTGCACTGTCTGCAGAATCATTAATTGCTGTGGAAAGTATTGGCTTGTGCTGGTTGCAAAGAGCTGCACGTGATGCTTTAAGGAAAAGAGTGAAAACCAGATCCTTTAAAATGCTTGAAAGTAAAGTGTTGGATGTGCAGAAGCAGAGAAGTTACAGATGTGCTTTTGAGCACAGTGGCAAGGGCTTCAGTCTTTCAAGCACAGTGGCTAAGACTTCAAACATATGTTTACGTGAGATAAAGTACTGTGAGATGATGCCCAAAGTAGTTCTGAATTAATAAATTCAGATACTTGTGACATTATTACTGCACTAACATAGTATTCCATATAATACTACAAATATATCAAAATCTCAGCTTGTTTAAAGCTTGCTCTAGTATCTTTCTGCAGCATTTCATGTTTTATGTGGATGAAACTCAAGCTATTCATTCACAGGCAGGGAGAAGACAGGTCAGGAAATGACTTCCTTAGAAAGAAAGCTCTTTACAGTGCTGCTGGTGTCAGATCATTGGACAACTGCTATTATAAGCATGGCAGTGCTGACAGAGGATGTTTGTTCTTAAGCTAGAAGCATTGCACACGAGGTGACTGTGTGGTGGAGTATAACAGCAGAACGTGAGAAGGGAGAAAACGTTCAGAACAAGTCTATCAGACTTGGGGTGTTTATTAGTGCTGTTTTCTCAGTGGAAACAAAAGGTTTATTCCAACTACTGTGTGCTTGTTGAGTAGGAGTGCAGGAGGTTGCCCCAGACAAGCTGAAATCTTTCCTCTTGGCCTGTGATTTTTGAAATATTTCACCCTGTGCTGGAGATCAGCTAACACTTAGGCACTGAGCATCTGTCATGGTTTAAGCCCGGCTTGCAACCAGCACATCAGGGCTGCTCGCTCACTCCCCCCCGAGCAGGATGTGAGGCAGAGAATTGGAAGGGTAAAAGTCAGAAAACTTGTGGGTTGAGATAAGAACAGTTTAATAATTGAAAAAAAAGAAAAGAATAGTAATAGTAATAATAGTAGTAGTAGTAATGAAAAGTAAAATAACAAATAAAGAGAAATAAAACCCAAAAAAGACAGGTGGTACAAATGTAAACAATTGCTCACCACCTACCGACCGATGCCCAGCCAGTCCCTGAGCAGCCCAACCTTCCCCTTGGTTTATATGCTGAGTATGATGTAATATGGTATGGAATATCCCTTTGGTCCCAGCTGTGTCCCCTCCCAGCTTTTTGTGCACCCCCAGCCTACTCACTGGGGTGATAGGAGAAGCAGAAAAGGCCTTGAGTCTGTGTGAGCACTGCTCAGCAATAACTAAAATATCTCTGTGTTATTTCCAGCACAAATCCAAACACAGCCCCATCCTAGCTACCGGGAAGAAAATTAACTCTACCCCAGCCCAAACCAGCACAGCATGTCATGAAGAACTTGAATGGTTTAAGTGATGTAATGAAGGGTTTAAATGGAGCATAACCAGTGCTGAAGAATTGTACTAGTTTAAGGACTTAGGTACATCCTAATGTAAGTCTCTAGCTGCAATCTTGGATGGGGTTTCATCTCACTGGGCATCTGCAGGTGAGCTGGTACTGGAAATACCTGTCTGAACTGGATCAGCTCTGGATGCTGAAATGCCTGCGTTTTGGCTGGTACATCAACTTCACTCCAACCCCCTTTGAGCAAGGAATCTGGAAGAAACACTACATTGAGATGGTGAAAGAGCTGCGTGTCACGAGACCAACGGTACATACCTACCACCTCTCGAGATGTGGGGGGTCAGTGGGAAAACTGGGCCGGTCGGGTGCCTTACCCCTTTGCCTCTTTATCTTTCTGTGATCTCCCACTAGTCGAATGGAAGATATGTCATTCTAAATTAGAATCTAACCTCATGTGTTGCCATGGACTCTACTTTCCCATTATCCATCCCTGGTAGGAGGAAGTGAAAATCTCACTGACTAGGCGAGAAAAACTCACCAAGATCTCACTCTGCTATCCTTTCAGGATATCCTGGGGCAATCCTCTAAGTTTCCCTTTCCAGCACTCAAGTCTTTTCCCCTCTTTTCCTCCAGTTTATAGCGCATATGACAGCCAGAGGTGGAGTGCCCAGCATCATCCCTGCTGACATTTCAGAGTCAGTTTACCCAGTGGAAAAATAAAAAAAATCCACATTGTCCCCATTATAGCCCTTGGTGTTGTCTTTCTGTCTTTTTCAAAGGTGGCAGGGCCATCCCGGGGAGCTGGAGCATTACTCAGTAGCTATTGCTTTCTCTTGAGATTCATGCCTGGCTTGTGGGGCTGTGAGGGTGGGATTCTTCTGCCCTGACTTCAAAACTCAGCCCTCTGATTGTAACCTCTAGTTCTAACTCCCCTGTAGGCTCTCTTTGTAGGCAGCAGAGGAAAGCCAATGCATTTCAAAAGCAGCTCAGCTCATCTTAATACAGATTTTTGGACATGGGCAATGACATGCATTGGCAGGGTGCCTGTTTCTGTCCACTGACCATAGTGGAGCCTGGAAAGACTAATTTTGAGTTAATACCCAATTCTTAGAAGTCCAAAATTAGGCAAAATAAATCTCATTTTCATTATAGGCTAAAATTTATTTTCTTCTTTTAATCTCTCTCATCAGACTCCTTCAAAGGATGAGTTTGTAGTTATTGATGTGCAACCGGTAAGAAGCAATGACCCAGAGGGAAAACTTTCTGTGCTGGGAAGGAGGATGAACAAGGAGAAAAAACAGCTCCCACCGTGGCGTTCATCAGACAGGCATCCTACAGACACCATCCGATTCAACTACCTCGACAACTACGATCCCATCGAGCAGGCTAGGCAGGCGTAAGAGCTTCATCTCTCCCCTTTGGCTTTTTCTGCGACGTAGGGTATGTTCGTGTCCTTTGCAATCTCATTCTGCCTGTACTCCAAGCTGCGTGGAAGCCTTATAGTTCAGCAACCTGGTTTCGAACACACTTTGCTGCTCTTTTGGCTTTTCGTGGATTGATTTTGGTCCTGTTGTAGTTGCAGCTGTGCTGCTTTGTGCCATTTCAGTGCAGAGCATGGGCACAGCTTGTTAGTGTCTGCTGATAAAACAGGCTGTAACTCCTGGGGAATTTACACAGTTGTAATGGGAAGAATCGGTATGAATAGTATTAATTACCTAAATATTTACACTGCCTGGGATAGACTGCCTAGATCCATCGGTTTGTAGGCTCCCAGGATTATCTGATCAGCAACTGGCAAAAGAAGGGCATTTCCACCCCAAAGTAGAGTTTTGCACATCGACTTGTGTTAGCGCTGTCCCATGTTTTTCTTTGACACACCTGGCATCAGATATTTTCAGAATCTCAGATCTGTGATCAAATTTCTGTGCGTTAACAAGCATCAACAGGAGCAATAGCAAGGAGGCTGCGGGAGTCACCTGTGTGCAGTGTTTGGCTCGTTTCTCATTTAAGCCTCTGCTAATACCACGTCTCATTTTTCATGGGCTCACAGCAGTTACCTCAATTCAGCTGATGTGCAGTAACTTGTGAAACTGGTAATACCATCATTATTCTGAGCTTGGTGAACAGGTAGTGGATTAGCTTGACCGTTGCCTAGTTCCTGTGAGAGTCTCCGAAAACAGACTCTCACCCAACCGAACGTGCAGGGAGGAGGAGATTCGTCTTCACCGTGCCAACAAAACCCTTGGGAACCAATTGAGCCGCAGTGAAAGTATCCAGATTGTACTTTCAGTAAATAACTGATAGAGCTGAGATTAGCCCTGTGCACAGGAACAATCAACCCATGAATTACCCCGGCCGAGTGACTGTTTGGCTAAGCAGTCGTGCACTCATGTAGGCTCTTTCTCAATGTGATTAACTTTGCTGGACCCACCACTCCTCCAGGCTGTTCCGCAAAGTTTCCAGTGTCTGAACAAAAGCCTTTTATGAATCATTTTTTAATCTGCGTCCCCTAGTCCTAGGATAATGCAGTACTTCAAAGAGCTTTCCAGTTTCCACCTCACCCTCTTTCTGCGGTATGTTTCCACACTCTAGCACCATTTTGGGTAGAGTTCTTTGAGGCTTTTAACTAAATATTTTGACAAAATGCCTCTTGTTACAAACAGATGTCCTGATACTATTTTTCAGTTGTGCTAAATGTTTCTATGCTGCGGCTCCCAAAGGTTTCTGTGAGGTTTAAGGTTCCATGACCCAGTGTCAAAAGTGGGACAAGCCTTGTTTGAAGAGTTTAAAAGACACTTCTTCCAGCATGGAGCTGTAGGTGCAGCTGACAACCAGATGCAAATAATTCTGAGTTTCTAATGATACAGTTAGCACACTGACTGTTTTCTTCTCCTAAGTGTGATTTGAGCCTCTATCCATTTGTGCAATGGAGAATATTTTAATGCCGAGTGTTCTAGCAAACCTGGCATTTATCTGTAATTATAGAGGATTACTGCAAGGAGAGAAATGAATTCTATGAGATTTACTTGTTTATCAAGCATCCCCCTTTGATATCACTTAAGCTGAAAGTAATTGCTGGTGCGTAGTCTCATCTGTAATAGTTACTCAGCAGCGCAGGTGTGCCGTTTCAGGTGCTGACCCAGCTTCCTACTCACAGAAGGATATTCTGGTGCTTCTTTTCTCTGGCCACATTGACAACAGAGTCCCCTCTGCAGCCCATTCCCAGAAGCACCTGGGTTGAGGCAATCCCAAGCACAAATACAGGCTGGAAGGAGAATGGATTGAGAGCAACCGTGAGGAGAAGGACTTGGGGGTGTTGGTAGATGAGAAACTCAACATGACCCAGCAACATGCACTGGCAGCCCAGAAACCAACCGTGT